TGTCTTGTATTTGACTTAAATGGTTTTTCTGCATCTTTCTTGAGCTTCTTTCCTTGATACACTGGAAAGACATGCTGAATGCATGGTAGCAAGCAATATTCACAGTGGCATAACCAATGTAAGTCCAATGGCTGCCACTTTGTCCAGTCTTCCAGTCCTTGGCTGTGCCCAATTTCACCCCCAGTGAAAGGCTTAGAGACCAGGAAGGAGGCACAAGGAACTGAGCTTGCCTCTGATGCTGGTTCAACCAAAGCTCTCCCATGAATCTGTGGCAGCACAGGCAAAATGAAACAAGTCTTAACCCAGACAGGATTATGGAGAAAATTAAATGGGAATGTTGGTAAAGCACTCCACATGGTATCTCAAACTCAGAAGACTTAAGACATGAAGGCTGCTTTGCTCTGTGCATTGTAGTTTGAAAAAAAAAATGTAGTTTGCAATGTTCACAGTGGAAATCTTCTGTTTCACTTAAGCTAATAACTAGAAAGCATGGCATTTTCCTGTACACTTTTTAAAAGTTTTAAAATTAATAAAGCATATGATTGAAAAACTCAAATAATAATATAATGAGATATCTCCATTAAGGCTCCCCACAAGCCTCTGCTATAAGGCTCCCAGCATTATAACCCCATAGAGACATTCTAGGTATAAGAATGTATAGGTATAAAAGTGTCTAGAGAAATCAAACTGTTTACAAGAAGAGCAAAAAGAAGAAGTGTAGAAATGACTACACCCGAGGAGAAACTACTCTCAGGTCCTGCAGTGAAAACCATAACAACGTTCTATGTCCTAGAGACAAAAAGACAAAGAGATAGATTTAAAAAGCGGCACACCTTCACCGAGCACAGACTCAATGCACAGGAAGGAAAGAACGGGAAGAGAGCTGTGCTACTCCAACATCAAAATATCCACTCTAAAATCCCACACACAGACAAACACATCTGGGAAAGAATGTTCCACATTAAAACAAGAAAAGAGCAGTGCTGAGTAAAGAAGCAAATAGTATGAGCAGAGAAAGGCGACTCATTCGACAACTGCTTACCAAGCACAGACCATGTGCATGCACTGTGCCAGGCCCGCAAGAGAGCAGGCAATAAGGTCCACCTGTGTCTTCACTCAGAGACCTTTTACTGCATGTCAAATTTCCTAAAAAGCCCTTAAATAACTACGTGGACTTTGGCTTTCAGTGTGATGAGAAAGTTTATTCCACTGCGGAATAGCTCTAATTATTAGAGTCCTCCCAAAGATAGGTGATTCAGCTCCTCCCAGAACGTTTCCAGGCAATGACAACAATAAATCTGAACTGCTCTTTCACACATATTAATTTACTTATACCTCATAACCTTTTATAGAATGACTTGATTCTCTGCTTTCTATGGTTGATGAAACTGTGGCTCAGACAGGTTAAGTGACTCCACCTCAAGCAAGAAGTAGGACTTGAACCTTAGTCCTCTACTCCAAAGCTACAGAATAGCCACCTCCTGGGCCCTCGGGAAAGTTTCCACTCTATTCCAGATCACAGTCCTTCAATGACCAGAAGGGAGGCTAGTAAATATCTCCTACCCTGCAAGTCTTTACTTCCCAGGACAATCATCAAATTCCTTCATCTTATCAATGAAAAATAAACCAAAAAACTCAGAAACTTTCATTAAGTCAGACCTCTCCCTTCTTATATAGTGTAACTGATTTTTTTCAATCTACAATTCATCAGGTTTCATGTCTATGAAATATGGCTTTTCATTTCATTCAGAAGGCAGAGGTCTTTCTGAGGCTCAATCTGTCATCTAATTGGCCGACTGGACTTTCCCTATTTTCTGTGATGCATTAATTCAACAACCTTGCTTTTCTCAGTTTTCTTTCAATTAGTGAAATAAATAATATTTATCAAACATTTATTATGTGCCAGACACTAAAACCAATTTACATATATCATTTTTTTTAACATATATCATCTCATTTGATCCTTGCAATAGCTCTTTGAAAAAGACAAAATCATATCCCCATTTTATGGAAGAAAAAATGGCTCAGAGAAGTAATGTACCTGGATCTACAGTCAGACACATCTATTGGGCTGTAGAGAAAGTACTTAAATTAGGGACTGTTACATAGAAGAGTCCCTTCTCCCAGTGGCCTCGATCACCCTCACCCTTTGGGCAGAACCCATTTCCATGCCAGAGGATATCAGTGAAAGCCCTCCTAAGAGCTGTGTGTTAGACTGGACAGCAGCCTTACTGTGTCAAGGCAGTCACTCTAGTGAAACAAAGTAGAGAAAGGAGCAGCACTGTTAGAAACAGGGTAGCTGAGGAAATCACTCCTTTCCCTCCATTTAATTTTAAAACAACATCCAAGAGCCATTCCTCCCTCCATTGTCCTATGGCAGAGAATCATAACGAAAACCCAGGAGATCTTTGCTGCACATGTACATATTTTGGATCACCTAGTTACCTTTACCTTACTTAAACCTTATTGAGGTTTCAAGAACAGTCACAATATCCCATGCATGTAATTAAGAGCACCAAATTCTGGGACAGACATGCATGCTGCGAGCCCTGAGATAACACAGCACTCTGTCAATCATAACTGCAGACTCAGGGGAGGCACCTGGGCAGAGGTGCATAGCCTTTAATTCCAAAAGCCTCATTTATCTGGGGCTGTTATGCGTTGATTCAAATATGTGCAGTGCTTTTGCTTTCTCATCATCCCAGCACTACTTTTCCACTTATGTCATATTTTTGTCAGCACAGACTTGTCCTGTGATTTTTAGTAAACATAGCTGCTTTTCACTCGCCATTTGGATCATATGCTTGTAGTTCTTTGTTCATTGTACAAAAGAGCCTGGAATTTATCCACCTAATTCATCACATGGTAACAGGAAGTAGGATGAGCAAGAATAAAACATCAAGTAGGTTCATAAAGGAGATAGCTACTCAAAAAAAGTAGCTACCAAAAAAAGGTTAATGATCTTTAGCTTGAAAGTGGATGGTAACTGCCTTAGATCAGCCTATTTCTGTACTTATTTTCAAATTCATCAGGAAAAATAACAAATAGGGGCAGCCTACTTTAAAACAGACAATAAAGAAATAGTTTAAACAAATTAAGTCCTCAAGAACTATAAGCACAAATTCTAGGGTATCTGATAAGTTTACTGGTTCTAAGACTAATGACAGGACCTATAACCTCTTATTTATCTAGCTCTTAAATGTTGTTCTAAGTGAGGAGTATTTCGTTCTGAGAAACATTTTTTTAAGGAAAGAGTAAAAGGCTTCTAGAAGTGAAAGGATCAATTGCATTTCATATTCCTATCTGATAATAAATTCTGTTTTTTAATTTTATGCAAAAGGTAAAATTTCATAACAAGATGATAGAATAACAACAAGTAATACAATGCATATTACTATCTTTAAAGTAGTTACTCAGAGTATAAGATATGGGCATAAAAAATTCTCCAATTGATATTAGTGCAAACCTTCCTTTTTCTATGAACTAAGAGACACTAATAGTATAACTAACTTGCATTTTTCCCCTTTTCTCTTCCCTCTTTTCCTCTTTCCCCCATCCTAGGTCCTTTTTCCTTTTCAACAATTTCTTCTCATTTCACAATACCTATTGTACATTTTAGACCTTATTGATTCTTTCAATTTCTCATACCAGGGAGACAATATGATGTTTACACAGGTGAGTCTGATTTATTTCACTAATGAGTATGGTCTCAAGTTGCATTCATTTACCTATAAAAATCTCAAGTTTATCCTTATTTATGGCTGAGTAGTACTCCATAGTATAAAAATACCACATTTTTTTTAGCCATTCCTCAGTTGATTGGCATTTGGGTTGTTTCCAGGATTTAGCTATTACAAATTGTGCTGCTATAAACATGAGTGTACATATATCACTGTGGTATGATGTTTTTAATTCTTCTGGGAAGATACCCAGAAGGGGAATAGCTGGGTCAAATGGGACCTCTAACCCTAGCTTTTTGAGGAATCGCCATACAATTTCCACAGTTGTTGCACCAGCTTGCACTCCCATTGATAGTGGAGAAGTGTTCCTTCTCCCCACAGCCCCACCGGCATTTGTTATTGGTTGATTTCTTGATGATACCATTCTTTCTGGAATGAGATGGAATCTCAGTGTTGTTTTAATTTGCACCTTTCAAATGACATTTTTTCATATTTTTGAAAATTATTTTTCATTTTAACATTTTTTCATATATTTGCCATTTGTATTTCTTCATCTGAGAAGTGTGTATTCATCTCAGATGCCCATTTTTAGACTGAGTCTCTGAATTTAGGGGGGATATGATTTTTTTCAATTCTTTGTATGTTCTAGATAGAAGTTCTTTATCTGAGGGACAATTGGCTAAAATTTCTTCCCACTCTGTGGGTTGTCTTTTCACTCTGTTGGTGATTTCTTTTGATGTGCAAAAGTTTTTTAATAGTATAAGGTCCCAGTTGTTGATTCTTTGAAGTATTTCCCCCGTGCAGTTTGGCTTTTGTTCATGGACTCTCTGCTTATACCTATGTCTTCAAGAGTTTACCTACTTTCTCTTCCAGTAGATTTAGTGTTTCTGTTTTAATATTTAGAACTCTGATCCATTTCAACTTTAGTTTAGTACATGGCAATAGGGTCTATTTTAGTCTTTGGTGTGTAGAGAGCCAGTTTTTCCAGCACCTTTCGTCCAGTGAATAGGTTTGGACCCTTTGTCAAAGATAAGGTGGCTGAGCGTGTTTGGAGTTGTGTCTGCACTTCTATTCTGTTCTACTGATCCTCAGATCTGACGTTTTGCCAGTACCATGATGATTTTATCATAGTAGCTTTGTAGTATAATTTCAAGTCTGGAATTGTGATGCCTCTTGCCTTGCCTTTGTTGTTCTCTATTATTTTTGAAAAGTAAAGTACGTTTGGTTTCATGAACATAATGGTAAATAATCAGTAAAATTTAAATCATTGCCACTTCCAGAAAATAAGCTTATTGTAATTGACTACAAACATCACAATACCTGTTCTGTCTGATAGAGCATATCTTCTCACATTTGCTCCTCCATGCAGTGCAAATTTATGAAAATACACATCTCAAAAAAAAAAAAAAGAAAATACACATCTCAGATATTTTAAGGCAACTCTGATTCATTCCTCATTACTTATGTTAATATTTTTAAACCAGCAGTGACTCCCAAGATGTTTTTACCTTCCCTTCTTTAAAAGATCCTTATCATGGCCCACAGGCGCTTAAGTCTACAGTACTAGAAACTTCTTCGAGAACTCTTCATTGGGCAAATTAAATTCCTGTAATGGGAATGATCACTCAGTAATGTATCTGATTTTAGGTAATAATTACAATGAAGTACAAAGTAAGAAATAAAGAACTATTAATATTCACTGAGCGGTTCTCAACTCCAGGGTATCAATTTTAATAGTGCAGTAGTATTTATAAAATGGGAGGCTCCAACCAATCACATCCTACAGGCATTCAGTCTTGGAAACCAAAAGGGACCAAACTAATTGCAAGACCTAAAACTTGAAGTCATCTTAAGACTCCTCCCTCTTCACATCCTCCACATCTAACTACTCATGATGTTCTAGCAATTCTTCCCACCAAAATCAACTAATATCTCTTCTCCAACTACAGCTGCCTTAATTTCAATTTTCAAAAAAATTTTAAAACTTTTCTTACTATATGTTTGTAGAACATAATGTGTGGAGTTGGTACGTAATTACATTTTAGAGCTTTTTACTCCCTAATCGTAATCTTTATTGTTCTTCCTCATGTCACTGACTTGCTTCCTCACTGATTTCCTTTTCCTTTTCACTCTAATCCTTCTTCCATGCTGCTACCACTCCTCTCTCAAGTACAAATCAGCCATCAGCCACTCTCTTGTGAATCAAAAGCCTGCTACAGTATTTCCATTTACAGGTGAGATTCAGTAATGGATGAGAGTTGTTCTTCTGCTTGAAACAGACAGTTTTAAAAGCTTAGACTACACATTTTGCTAAGAAAGGAGAATCGCCAGAGCATAAATAACTGTTCCATAATGTCTGACCTTAGTATCTTTTCTTAACATTGCAAGTAAGAAGTTATTTTATCTTCTTTTCACATTCTGCAGCACAGTTTTTAAAATTTTAACATAATCCAAGTAGCCATTAATAAAAAAATATTAAAAGCATTCTTCTTAGTATCTTGAGGAAGCTTTCAGGCCACATAATACCTACCAAAATCTCAGCAGACTTTTGTAAATTGACAAGTTGATTCTAAAATTCATATATAAAAAATAAATAAATAAATAAATAAATAAATAAAATTCATATACAAATGCAAAGGACCTAGAATACACTTGATCTTAGTCAAGAGGCTGAAAAGTGATAAGGTACTAGAATACACAAAGTAACCTTAAAAAAGACAAAGTTATAGGACTATCTGACCTAAAAACCTATTATAAAGCTTCAGTACTAAAGACAATGTGGTACTGGTATAAAGATGGACAAAAATTTATCAGAACAGATACCAAAAATAAAACCATAAACATATGAAGAACTGATTTGACAAAGGTGCAAATGCAACTCAGCTGACAAAAGTCTTTCTAACAAAGATGTAGAGGTGCTGGGAAAAATGGCTATTCCTATGAGAAAGGCAAGGAAGAGAAGAGGAGATCCATGCCTCATACCTTGCACTGTACACAGACTTTTAGTCAGATTGTATCACAATCATAAATGCAAAATCTAAAACATCCAGAAAAATTATAGAAAATTTTAAAAAACCTATGCAAACGGGTTAGGAAGAAGATTTCTTAGATACAATAAAAGTATATCTAGAAAAGATATAATAAAAACACATCTGGAGCCTTTTGGGACCCAGAGCACCCAGCCACGCAGGCGCCTGGAGAAGCAGGCAGGCTGCAGGCGCCCGCTCTAGGAGGCCGCATGGCTGGGGAGCGTGGGCCCTTCAGGGCCAGCGCACCCAGCTGCGTGGGTGCCCGGGGAGGCAGGCAGGCTGCTGGCACCTGGAAAGGCAGGTAACAGGTGCCTGGGAAGCAGTGTGGAGACGTGTGCCGGCCCTCTGGCCAGCTGCCACCAAGCAGTCAAGAAATGCCATGCCACAGAGAAACACTGACACAATAGGCCCGCCCGGAGACGTGCATGAAGCATTCCAACATGGAGAAACCTCTGGGAAAGCATACCACATGGCCAGTCGCTCTTCCTCCCTTGAGAGCCAGAAAGGTCCGGAGTCAATGGAGAAGTAGCTGATGAACAAGGACTCAGAAAACTCGAGAGTACCAATGCCCAACGACTCAGAGGTAGAGCTGACTGGAGATGCAGGAGCCACTTGGGAGCTGGAAACCAGGAAGACCTTGAGCAATACCTGGGGAGACCCCCCCCCCCAAGAGGCCATTCTTCCCCTAACTGTACAGGCTGTGGTGGAGGTGTGAGTGGAGCTCCAGAGAGGTCTGCACCAAGACTTCATGGATTACATGGGTGCCCAATATTCAGATTTTAAAGAACCATCTTCATGGAGAAGGTACGTGTCTAGGTTACCTGCCTGGGACACTTTGCACCTGATGGTGCTGAGATTGACTAGCGGGCTGAGGACTTCATCCACATGTTCCTGCTGCCTGTGTTGACAGTTGGGGAGAGGACACTAAGTGGTTGCGGGATCCCAATGCACTGGGAGGCTGGAGAGAACACCCCTCTGCTTTCTTAGACAAGAGGCATTGATAAAGCATACTTCCCTGGATCCCATGTTAGTAGAGGGACAAACTATTCTTAAAGGTATGTTTATTACTCAGTCAGCCCCAAATAGTAGAAAAAAAGCTACAAAAAATGGCTTTTGCCCCAGAGAGCTCACTTGACATGGTAGTAAGAATTGCCTCCTCAGTATTTTATAGCCGTTAGGAGGCACCCAAGGAGAGAAAACAAAGAAACTGAGAAAAAACAGCTGCCTTTGTTGCAGCACTAAGAGAAACAGACCCTAAGTCTGATTCTTGGGGCCCCAAGAAGAACCCGTTGACTACATTCATCGGTTATAGCTGTCAAAAGCCAGGCCACCTCAAGGGGGGATTGCCCTAAGAAGCCCCCTGGGCCATGCCCTGACTGTAAAGGTGACCACTAGAGGTCAGACTGCCCTCTGAAGTGAAGGCCCCAAACCTCAGACCCCTCCTATCAGCTGGTCCAAAAGGAATGAAGGGGCCCAGGGCATACTCTGCCTTCTCCCTCTGGCCAGACCGTTATCTTCAAGGAGGAGCCCCGTGTAATCATGACTATAGAGGAAAAAGTAAACAGCCTATTGCTGGACACTGGTGCTAGTCTCTCAGTCCTTCTTTTCAATGCGGGCCTTCCTTCCAGCTGTCACACCTCAGTGGAAGGCATCACTGATGAGGAGGTAATCCACTATTTTTCACAACCCTTAGGCCGTAACTACTTGTTAGATCTTTCTTGCATATCTCTGTTTTCCTGAGAAACCACTTTGAAGATACCAACATGTATTACAGCAGCCACTGACAATTTCCTACCAATCTGTCCATAACTCTGTAATGTTTCTCTTGTTCTTATGCTATTTCATAAATGGATGTAGTTTATTACTATGTGTTTTCAGCAACAACCACTGAGAATAGTCAATGATTATTTAATTGATCACTCATGTATAGCTCTATTTGTTTGCCCTAGAAACCACTTTGAAGAAATCAAAGTATAGTACAACAACCATTGATAATTTCCTACCATTTTTGTCTATAACTCACTATTATTTGTCTATTTGTTTTCCTGAGAAACTATCTTGAAGATACCAATAGGTAAAATAACAACCATTGATACTGTCCTACCACTTTGTCTGTAATTTGGTAAATCCCCCATTACTATGTTATCCTTTTACTCTTTTAAATAAATAAATAAATAAAACATATCCAACAATAATTGACAAACTGCATGTAATCCAAATTAAAAACTTCTGCTATTCAAAAAATGTGCTAACAAAAAAATGTGCTAATAACATTGCAGGCTGGGAGAATGTACAAATCATGTATCTTACAAAGAACTTACATTCAGAACAGAATAAAGACCACTCAAGACGCAATAATGAGACAAAAACAGTAACAAATATGGACAGAAACTTCACCAGAGAGGAATGCCAAATAAGCATATGAAAAGGTGCTCAATTTTATTGATCATTAGGAAAACACAAAATAAAACCACTATTACTTATCATTGAATACCTATTAGAAGGGCTAACATTAAGAAATCCACATGTACCAGGTGTTGGCAAGTATCTGGAAGGACTAGAGTCCCCTTATACTACACATACAATTCTGAACTTTCAGATAATTATGTTATTTAAAAAGCATACTAACCATATAATTTTTTTTTCAGGGAGGTTTGAGACAGGGTTTTACTAGGTAGCTCAAGCTGGACTTGAACTCACTCTGTATCCCAGACAGGCCTCAAACTCACAATAATCCTTTACCTCAACCTCCCAAGTGCTGGGATTACTGGTGTGCACCACTATGCCTGGCAATCTAATTTTTCATATCATAATGTCTCAGAAAGATTTTACAATCATAATATCTAATATCATCATTGTGACTTATTTTGGTGGTAGTGGTTGTACTGGGGATTGAGTTCAGGGCATCAGTACTGAGTTGTATTCTCAGCCCTTTTCATGTTTTTATTTTGAGACGTCTCAGGCACTAAACTGCCCAGGCTAGGCTTGAAATTGTGATTCTCCTGCTTCAGTCTCCAAGAGTGCTAGGGATTACAGGCATGTGCCATGATGCCCAGGCTCACCATTATAACTTTTATCTAAATTATGAAAATATTTGTCAACAGATATTTTTATAAATCAGCATTTAGTTTAAAATCACCTTCCCAGAGGATAATTTATTATTTTTGTTTTCATTAATCCATTAGTGCTCAAAGTCTAGCTGCCAGACTAGTGGCATGTACATGGGCTAAAAACTCACTAGAAATGCAAATTATCCAATTTGACACCACGGATTGAACTAAAAAACGTCAGGGGGACAACCCAGAAATCTGTATTTTCACAAGTCTTTGAAGTGATTCTGATGCATTGTAAAATTTGAGATCC